AGGAGGTTATCAGCAATGACAACTGAGATAAAGAGAGCAAACAGCAGCCCACACAGGCATGATTACAGGATACAGTGATTACAGCAACAGCTGACCAGCGTATTGGCTCCTTGGCATTAGAAACTGCAAAGATCCTGGGTTGCTTGATTTGTTCCCCAATTTTGACTTGTTGAACATTCCTCTTCATGGTCTGGATCAGGGAAAAAATGGGGCATTGTTTTCCTTTGGGGAATGTTATGGTGGCTAAATGAATGAAAGCAGAGAAATATCTACTCAACTCAACTCTGAGTAGATAAATAAAAAGTTAAATAATCTTTTGCTTATAACATTGACATCTTAAATGGCAATTGCACTAATATAATTTTATTCATTTTCAACACTTTTTAAATAATAGAATGTGAATCATTCTAATCATATTGATAAAACATTACTTCATTGAAATCTGCATTGAAATAATATATTGTATCAAGAATTATAACAAAAGGGTGGAGGAACAAAAAATTACCATCCCATACGTTCAGTGAGAAGTATTACCCTACAGTGGCTAAAGAGACTGGGGTATGAATTATAATCTGGTTCACCCAACATCTTTATCTTATCTTGGCTTTGTGGTTGTTAAACCATGGTTCACTGTGGAAGATGCTGTTATAGTTTATTCAGCAAATCATGTACAAAACAAGCCACGGCAAAGCTTGATGGGTGAATATGGCATACATTTCTTCATTCAGATAATTTCTCAGGAAGAGACTTAAACGTGTCTTTTTCTCTGTCACTCTTGATGATCTCTTCCTTTTTCAATCCGGAAGCCACAGTACTGGCCTCCATCTTTGATGGCACTTCTCAGTACTGAGCTGGTGTGCTATTTAGTTAGTTATGTTTTTTGTGCCACACATTACTTTGTATTGTAGCTTTATTATTTTTACAAATAATTCAAGGCAATGAACATATCCAATGTACCTTCCTCCCACAACTACAACTCTGTGAGGTGGACTGAGCAACAGAGAGAATGACTGGCCCAAATGTCTATGGAGATTTTCAGTCATCCAGGTCATGGATGTCCCAAAGGTGCTTTTTCAAGAGGCAATTGGACTTTGTTTTTTTCTTTGAAGATGTTTTGCTTCTCATCCAAGAAGCTTCTTCAGCTCAGAGCTGAAGAAGCTTGTTGGATGAGAAGTAAAACGTCTTCAAAGAAAACCAGAAAGTCCAGTTGCTTCTTGAAAAAGCACCCTTGGGGTGACTGGCCCAGTTACTGAGCCAGGCAGGACTTGAACTCACAGTCTTCTACTTTCTAGCTAGGTGTATTAACCACTAGACCAAACTGGGGTCCTTCTAGACCAACAGCTCCTGGTTGAGTAACAGGTGGCAGTCATGGATAAGGAAATCTTAGCACATTCATGTTGTGCACCAATTGTATCCTTTCCTTGACCGGAAGGCCTTGCTCAGGATGATTCATGCCTTTTTCATTTCCAATTTGGATTACTGCAAGACTTTCTATATGAGGCTGTTCTTGAGAACCACTCATAGTTTACAACTATTCCAGAATGCAGTGGTGCATGCAATGATGGGCACCTCTAGTTCACCCATATAACATCTCTGTTGCAGTGCATTGGCTCTCAGTTTTCTCTTGGGGAAAATTCAAGGTGCTGTTTATTAAATCCCTATATGGCACGAGACCAAGTTATCTGCAGGACTGCCTTTCCCAAAGGACCTCTGCCCATCCTACCAGATCAGAAAGGGTGCTCCTAGTCCTTTCTCTTAAATGCTGCCATTTGATAGGATCTAGGAAGTTTTCTGGGCAGCCCCTGCCTTATGAAATGGCCTTCCTGACATTTGGTCATCCCCCACTCTTTTAACCTTCCAAAGGCCACTTAAGACCTGATCCCCACCCCACCCACCCCGGAAAGTGGTGGGTTAGGGTGAGCTGAATTTTTGTGAGCTGCATGAAAGTTCAGCTATGATTCCAGGTCTTTTGGTTTTAATGTTTTTTATATATCTTGTTGAGATATATTGTTTTATTTTGGGGTTTTGAACTTCCCAGAGCTTGGTTCAAGAAGGGCAGGTATAAAATAAATAAATACATATTTTGTGAAATTGTCCCATTATTATGAAAAGAAGAAGTGCTGAGTTTGTCTGTCAAGAAAATGCAGGTTCCAATGCATCAGAAGGATTGTAATTCATTGGTGTAATTTATTGGTGAAGAAAACATTCCATATAGAGCTGGCCTTGGGATCGTGGCTTCACACGTTCCTAGACTGAGTTTTTAAGCAACTACTGGCTGAGTTCTTATGCAACTACTGGTTTTGTTAATCGGCAAATATAGTAGTCCACAATGGGCATACGGAAAGGTCATTGGTTTTTCCAGGGGTTTCAAGTTCAAATAAAAAGTTTTAAGGCTCTTGTTTCCTTTTCTGCCCATCAATGAGTTTTGTGCACCAATCAATTATCTCTGCTTATTTTGGCTCTCTTTCACTATTCCCCCCTGCCCAAGGGCTAAAGTTATTGATCGGTGGTTGACAGTTACCTCTGCAAATTCATGTATCCATGCTATAATCACAGGAAGGATATCATACCAATCAATTTCACTTGCTGCAGGGAAAGACATTTTGAAGATGACATCTGAAAGGATTGATCAAGTGGCTCTTATTTATAAAGCCCCAAGTGGAGTGACCGAGGACAGGGGTCGCCAACCTTTTGGACCACAGAAACCACCAAACTGATAGTTTTAAATCCTGAGGACCAGAGACCCTAGGAAAATCCCCCAAAAAGACTGCAGGAAAATTCCCCACCCTGTTTTCCTATCAATCGATCATTCTTTATTTGGGATCGCAGGATACCATCTCCAGCTCCGTTCTCAGGGAGAGAGAGAGAGAGAGAGAGAGAAAGAGAGAGAGACTTTTGGTTTCATGCAAGAAAGGCAGCAGAAGTCTTTCTTTCTCTCCCCCAAACTCTACCAGAAATGAGTCTTTGTGAGACTTGTCCTGCCGGCACAGCCTCCTGGAGCAGGATGCCTTGCAGGCTCCCAAAGACTCATTTCTGGCGGAGTTTGGGGGAGAGAAAGAAAGACCTTTGCTGCTTTCCTTGCGTGCAGCTAAAACAGAAGAAAAAAGAAATGGAAAGAAGCAGCCCGGTGGCCAGGTGAGGTGTGTGGGGTGACTGGGGCAAGTTTCCCTCCTGCCCTTTCCCCCCTCCCCTCACTACCTCATGTTGTTTGCAATGCAAGTGACCAAGCCTTGTGTTCCTCTGGGCCATGTGGGCAGCGCAGCCTTGTGTTCCCATGCAGCCTGGATTTATTGCTTTGGGAGGTGCTTTGGGGGTGGCATTTCTCTGCAGACCTGGATAGAAGCATTCCTGTCAAACAGACAACAAATGGACAAAATTGGGAGCGTCCTATCAAATTCTCTACCTGTCAAAAGTGGTGTCCCCCAAGGCAGTGTTCTAGGACCAACTCTCTTCATATGCTACATAAATGACCTCTGTGATCATATTAAGAGCAACTGCGTTCCCTTCACTGATGATGTAAAGCTATTCAACACCACAGACAATACTGCTACCCTTCAAAAAGACCTCGACTACGTATCAGAATGGTCAAACAAATGGCAACTTCAAATCTCAACAAATAAATGCTCTGTCTTACATATTGGCAAAAAAAATCAGAAAATAAAATACAGGCTGAATAGTCAAGACCTTGTTGATGATCCAAACTCGGTCAAGGATCTTGGAGTACTCATCTCCAATGATCTAAGTGCTAGAGCCCACTGTAACTACATAGCCAAAAAGGCATTAATATTACACTACTAACTAGAGCATACATAACATTTGCTAGACCAATACTTGAATACAGCTCATCAGTCTGGAACCCACATTATGTATCTGATATTAACACAGTTGAGAAAGTCCAGAAATATTTCACAAGAAGAGTTCTCCACTCCTCTACTCATTGCAAAATACCTTATGCCATCAGACTTGAAATTCTAGACCTAGAAAACCCAGAACTATGCCACCTTCGGTCTGATCTAAGTATAGTATATAAAATTATATATTGCAATGTCCTACCTGTCAATGAATACTTCAGCTTTTATTTTATTTTTATTTATTTTATTTGGTTTGCTTACAAGATAATAGGTATAAGTAAAAACATAGTTATGAATACATGGATACAATTAAGAAAAATAAAAGAAACAATAGGACAGGTAGGCACGTTGATGCGCTGGTAAACTGCACCAAACTTGATTGCAGGAAATACGACTTCAGCAACAGAGTGATCAATGTCTGGAATACTCTACCTGACTCTGTGGTTTCCTCCCCAAACCCCAAAAACTTTAATCTTAGACTTTTTACTATTGACCTCACTCCTTTCCTAAGAGGAGACATGCATAAGTGCACCAATGTGCCTACCGTCCCTGTCCTATTGTTTCTTTTTATTTTTCTTATATGTATCCATTTCATGTATTCATAACTACGTCTACACTTATACATATTATCTTATAATCGTTTGACAAATAAATAAATAAATAAAAATAAATTATAGCGTTTGACCTCCTCAAAGTCAGCCCTTCCGATTAACCGCACTGCAAATCACCTTATCCACCACAAAAGGGCAGCAGGGAAAAGCAACGAACGGCCAAGGTGTATCTCTCTCCCGCCTCGCAGTCCCGTCGCTGATCCCAGACCTCCCGCCCGGCTGAATATATCAAGCGCGACTTTTTGGTTCAGGGAACGCGAACATACCCGAGCTGGTGGTTGAGAGGGGGGGAAAAAACTGAAAAACCGGGAGAGAAAGTGGGGGCGCGCAGGGCTTTTTGGGAAAGGTAGTCCTTGGCATATAGCTGCCTGTGGCCAAGAACTCGGTCCGGACTCTATCTCCCAGAGGCGCACTAGGCAGTGGGGCTGGTAGGAGGCTTTCTCTGTACGAGCCTCCCTTACGTAGTTCCAGATTCACATTGCATCCTATCAGGCCAAAAGGCGATGATGTCACCTGCGGGCTTGTGAGGCAGCGAGACCGGAGTTACTCCTGCTGGCGGCGGCGGAGGAAGCGAGCCTGCCCTAACTAGCACTCATTGTAAACCGAGCGGGGAACTGGAGCGGGCGGCGGCGGCGGCGGCTCCAGAAGGATGCACGGGGGCATCAGGTAAGGCGGTTCTGGTTCGCCCCCGCCCCCACCTCACCGCAGGCGTCAATCAACGCCCAAGCCGAGGCCCCGTTTTCAGAGGGTGGCTCGGGCTTGGTTTAACGCGGTATGGAGGAACCTTAGTTACCTTCCGGGGTGAGGGAAAAAAAAATAGGTGAAACTTAAACGGCTTTCTCGTTCTCATCCCCTTGTGGGGAGAAGCGGCTTGAGGGACGGCCGAGCTTTTAAGATTTTAAGCTTGGGCTAATCGGGGAAGTGCTCTAGTCTGCAAACGAGGCAGGGTCTTGGGTTTAAAGCGGGGGGGGAGAGAGAAACTTTAAACGCGGTTTTCTTGCAACAGCCCAGAGGTAGTAGAATCTGCACGGGAGAATATGGGCGTCGCTGCGTGGATTGAATTCGCTCGTTTCTGGAAATATCCGTGCGCCCCTTTTCGCTTCCCGGGATTGTGTGGCTCTTCCCATCTCCCCTCAAACAGATCTGTGCGAGAGGCCAGAAAACTGTGGGTTTCGTGTGTGTGTGTGTGTGTGTATGTGTGTAACAAAAGGTGCAGATGTCTTTCCCCCCCGTTTCTTTCCGGCTGCTGCCTTTCTTTCTTCTGAAAGGGGCGTCGGGCTGGAGACGCCGCAAAAGAGATCGGCTTGAGGAAAAAAAGAAAAGAAACCGGTCTGCCGCCTTTACCACTACCGTCCCTCTTCACAAACACACCCACTTTTTGTTGTTTGTTGCTGCTAAATCCCCCGTCCCCAAATTGCCGCGGGTTCAAAGCCACCGGGAGAAAGAGAGAGAGAGAGAGAGAGTTTTGATTCTGCCGGCTTAACGCGAAGGCATTTGAACACAAGCAGCCGAAAGGAGGCGTGTAAAGTCGCGGCTTAACGTTGCCGCAACAAGACTTGGTGCGGTGTTTGTGTGGACGGCGTGTGCCTGCTCGCCACGTCCTCTGTATTGGGGTCTCTTTTAAAGCTCCTGGCACCCTTGGGCCTCGTCCCCGGTTTCTTGGTAACTGCATCCGCTACACGTGCAGAACGGCGTCCCAATGGCTCTCACCATTACTGAAATGCTAAAGGCACTTCAACCACCCCGGCTTTTGAAATGCAAAATAAGGCGGAACCAATACTTCAAATATAATTTCGAAAAGAGACATCGGTGCATCCATACGGCTCTTCTAAAAAAAAATGTGACTCTTGCTGGGGGCGGGGGAGGGTTGGGGCGCCGTGGGGAATCAATACATCTTCATCTGTACCTTGCCTAAAGACCGGAGATGCTTCTGTTTTCTCCAAGGGAGGTGGGGGGGGGGGAGACAAGGTAATCGGGCTTTTCCCCCTGTGGAAGATGCAGAAACTGCTGCTCTTTTTCCTGCCACCTGGTCTCCATCTTCCTCCCACCCAGCTCCTCCTCCTATTTAGGGGTCTCTTACTGGCTTTTTTTTTTTTTTGCCCCAATGGGTGCATTTGAGCGTCTTGGACCCTTCTCCTTCGTTCCTCCGATTCATGAAAGGGTTCATGAAAGGCTGGGCCAGTGGCTTTTGCTCCACAAGCAGAGAATCCCCAGGTAACCGAGGAAGAAAATAAGCCATTGTGCACATGCTTATTTTCTCTGGTGTGTGTGTGTGTGTGTGAATGTGCCTTTTGGTTTTGCAGCAGTAATAAAACCCCTTACCGATTGAGGATTTTTGAAGGAGAAGCTGTCTACAACAGGAAAGGGGGGGGGGCAGGGCATCAGAAATCAAGTTGCTATGGTTACCTATGCTGTTGAAGCATTGCTGCTTTTTCCTAGATCTGGGTTTCCCAGCTCCCACTCTTGCCTGGAAACCGTGGAAGGGTGTGGCTGTCTGTCTGTTTTTCAGCCTCTGGAAAAATGGGGATGCAGGTGAAGGTATGAATGGAAGAGGAGGAGCCCAGTCTTGTGATGTAAAGTAAGGACTTTTTGACTCAAGATTGACTTCTGGTGACCAATGTGAAAACATCCTCGGTTAGCTTTATTTTCCTGTATAATTGAGGGCTTGGGAGCTTGCCTATATATTTAGCTTTCTTCCTGCTCTGGGGTCCAAGCCTGGAGTTTGAAGTGGATGTTAATAGGAGGGGATAAGGTTAAAAATAGGATAGTGAGAGTTTTGCCAAGGCGCAGCTCCGTTTGGGAAGCAGTGAAGAAAAGGCTGGCAATTCCTTAGTGACAGGTGTGGGTGGGTTCCCCTGTTGCATTCATGGAAACGAAGAGGAAATCTTTCCTCTTCAGAAGCTGTAGGCAGGCATGAGATGCCTGAATCGCACACAGGGTGTTTCCCTAGCCGCCTCTTCCTTTCCTAATCCCACTCTATGCTTGCTCAACGCCTGTTGCAAAATCACAGTAGGGTTTCTTTTTTAAAAAATGTAGCTTTATTCTTCATGCACAAGAGCTGTGAGGGGCTTTCTGAAACGGGTGAAAGCTGAGAAGAAAAATGCAGAGATGGTAACAAAAGGTGGTTTGCCATTTTGCAGCAATGTTTCGTGTGCTTTGACATGTCCACCTGCAGTGGCTGTTGTGTGGAAAGGGCATCAGGATGGATGAAGGCTGCAACAAATGTATCTACTTCATTGTGTACCACGTTCTAGATCAATGACTAGAAAGTCCGTCTTTTATTCTAAACTGAACATTATGAAGGCATTGGACCCATCTCTGATGAATTGTATCTACCTTGGTTCAAATGGCAACAATTTTTTGTTAATGATCTTAATTATTCCCTACCTTTGCTACAGTGTTATTTCAATTTGTTGGTCATCATTAGATGGCTAACTTGTAAAATTTGTGCATATCCTTGCTCTTGATTTAACATGTAGCTATTTTACTTGGACAAGGTATTAGCCAAGGGTCAGTGACAGTATTTTAGATGGTGGTATTGATTAAAGTGTGTTTACATTTTTTTTCCTAGCTCTTTTTGGATCCAACAGCCCGGGGAATTATGTATTGACTATTTCCCATCTTTATGGGCAACTGAACACAGGGTTGGCAATTTGTCCTATCATCAGCTCAGATTAGCTGGGAAATGAATTTAGCCCTCCAGATCCAGGTCACAACCCAGTTCAATACTGCATGCCAGCTTATATGAATTCTCATGTTAACTCTGTGATGTTGGTTATTATTAATTTGATTGGAAACCTCAGTATTGGGCTTCCGGGATAGAATGCACAACATTGGATTGACTCCTGCAGAGGAAACCAATCCACCTTTCTCTGACTCTTGTTGATTACAGGCACACCAGTTTTAAACATTTCTGGGAAATGTAAAGTTTCACTTTCTGAACTGTCTGCCATTGGCCATCTTTACATACAGAATCTCATCTAAAGATTTTTTTAGAAAGTGACATTTTTCTCAGAAATTAGAATAGTTCCAATCCTTCTAGTATTCCAGAAACTGAGAAACGGTTCTCTTTAATCAAAGCTTTGGGACAGTGTTTCCTACCTGGGGGATTTTGGGAGTTGAAAGCCACACATTTTAAAGTTATTGAGGTTGCAAAACACTGGTTTGGGGAACAGAAATATTGGCTGTTATTTTACTCTTGTTGATTTTATGCTTGTTATAAGTTTTAGAGGAGCACGCTTTATAAGTGTATACTGATTTTATACTTGGGAAACAATTTTAATGTAGGATCTAGTGAAGTGGGCAGCCCATAATAATACAAAATAAATAAATAAATGTTTTTCATAAAATGATACATCACTTTTAACTGAAAGCATGCAGGTAAGAAATTCTGATTCCGTCGGGTAAAATATATAAATAAAGGAATGAGAGAATATTCCAAATAAGACCTGCCTTACAAAATTCTAATTTTGGTTCACATCCGTGGAGTAGAAAAGCTAGGAAGGGTGTAGTTCAGTCACAGACCCATTCTTGTGATTGCTTTTAATTTTTTTCTAAACTGAAATATCTAATTCTGTGATTTTACAGGACCAGAGTGCAAAATATCTAATTTGTATATATTGTCATTGAACTATTCTTATTGTTTATTTTGTAGTCTAGGGATTTGCATAAGATAAATGACAACAGTTTGTAAGAGAGACTGCTGTGCTGTCTTGCAGACACTTAAAGTAGCCTATTGAGCAACATTTTTACTGGTTTCATACAACACGTTACTTGTAGACTAGGCTGAAATGTAATAGGGTGATTTGTGAATCAATATGTCATAAGAATCCATTGTTTTGGTATGTTGTGGGAATGGGCCATTACGTTAAACTACAACATGGTGCTGCCCTAAGATGGTTATAAGATGGGCAGCTATATAAATGTTATAAATAAATAACATTATTTGAACATCAGTGTAGCATTAGATAAATGTAGCAATTAACCAGGCTTTAAGACTGAATTGTAGTATGACCATGTATTTACAACCTAACTGTTTTCTCACACACCTCTTTCCCTAGGCAGAGCAAAGTATAAGCATTCAATATTTTAGGGAGAGTGCTTTTTAATGAGTTAGTAATGTATTATCTTCAGTATGCATAATGCCATAGTTTTACTGCCAAATACTGAAAATATTTTAATTAGCTTTCTCTAATCTGCCACCTTTCAATTGAGCTGCATTTACCCTTCTAATCAAGTAGGGATAAAGCCTGGCTAGGAATTTTTGGCCTTATGATTCCAGTATATCTGGATAGGAAGAGGTTAGAGACAGGATCTATGGAGAAAACTATTGCCAGTTCAGGTACACAGGTGTACTATAATCTTTGGGGGGGACCAAATTTATACATGGGCTCTAACTGATATTCTGTCTTTGAAAGGGTTAAAAATGTAGACTCTGAATGTGCCAATCCCTACCAACAAATGTTATTTTATGGTGAAGTAGAAATATGACCTTAATCTATGCCTGCAATGTTAATATTCCTTGTGTTTTACAGAGGAATAGCTTTACAATTTGGTCTGGGAACAGTCAGATTAATGAATGAGGTATGACACCATTGTAAAGTTTTTCTGTGCCCCATACCATCTTTACAGATCATAAGAGCAACATTTGAAGTCTTTTTTGATGT